TCCCTCCCTCCCTCCCTCCCCCCCCAACCTGGGCCTTCGAAACCTAGAAGTTCTCCCCCCCCCTTGAAATTTCACTCTCAAACCCTCTGCCACCCCAAACGTCTGCTCTCCCAGCCTTGAGGACTAGAAACTTGCCCAGTCCGATTCGACGAATAAGTTTAGATCAACCAAAAAGCAAGTCCACTCCACCCAGAAAGTGCCACGGTATAACGCAGGGCCCCCCCACCATTTCTATGACAATTACGGGAAAAGGTGGGGGGGGTCTCACCTTCTGCTCCCCAAAACCCCCTCCCCCATCACCTGCTTGCCCCTTTGCCCCTTACCTTCAGGACCCCCGCCCCTCTCTCGGCATTGGCAGAAGGCGGGTGTAGCTGACAGGGGGTGCGTGCAAGACCCCCGTTCATCCCCCCTGGCGATGCCCCTCAATCTCACACACCCCCAGAGGGGGCTCCAGGGCATCCACCACTCCCCATTTGCACCCCGTCCCTCTGGCCAAATTCCAGCAGCTGCACACAGCCCCCCACCCCCCCCGGCCCAGGGATGCTGCAGAGGCTGTGCCCAGGCACCTTTTGGGGAGGGGGTCTGTCTCAGGGGCTCATCCCCCCCCCCTCCCCACAAGCCTTTGTTCCGCTCAGCCCCTCAGCCGGGCGATAGATACGGAGGAGGGGAAGGAGGAGGACGGGCGACGGGTGGGAAGTAATTTCCTGATGATTATGGCATTTCCTAGCAACAGCCAATCAGGGACGGCCCCCTTTTTTGCCTGCCGTATTTCATGCAAATAAGTTTCGGAGGGGTCTCCTCTCCCCCCTCTGCCCCCCCCCTTTCTTTTAATCACGCCGGGGTCAGCCAGGCGGCATCGGCATTGTTGCCCCAGACCAAGAGGGGGAATTTGCATGCCAGGGAATCCAGGGCCCACCTGGAGGAGACGGCAGGGAGGGGATGGATGGGGAACGCGGGGAAGGGGGCAGGAGGACCCCCGCCCCTCAAAACGTCCTTGGCAGACGGGGACTTTAACAGCCCAGGCCACCGCGGAAGCGGGCACCTACGCAGCTCGATTAACTGAGTAACAACAGAACGGCACAATAGCAAAACGACAGAACAACAGAACGGGAGATGGACAGGGAAACAGAGCATAGCAGAATAGCAGAATAACAGAATAGCAGAACGACAGAACGACAGAACGACAGAACAAGAGAATAGCAGAATGACTGAATGACACAATAGCAAAAGGACAGAACAGCAGAACGGGAGATTGACAGGGAAACAGAACAGCTGCATAGCAGAATAACAGAATAGCAGAACGACAGAACAAGAGAATAGCAGAATGACTGAATGACACAATAGCAAAATGACAGAACAGCAGAACGGGAGATTGACAGGGAAACAGAACAGCTGCATAGCAGAATAACAGAATAGCAGAACGACAGAACAAGAGAATAGCAGAATGACTGAATGACACAATAGCAAAATGACAGAACAGCAGAACGGGAG